ATTTACAGCATGAGAGAGTGTCAGACAGATTTGGTAACAAATTTCACCTACCGTGAATGTGACTGACTGTGTATATTATTTACATTTTACCCCACAATTAACCCAGTACCATTCATACCCTCCTTTACTGTCAGGGCCAAGAATGTGGGGATTGGGGGAGCTTACACACAATAAAATTGTTGATCCATAGTGTAGACATATTAGAAGAAATTACCCGATGGTTATCCACAGTAAATTTGCCGTCAATATCAATAACAGTCTACCTAATACTAAAATAGTTGGGGGTAGGGGGAGGGGAGGCTCATCTAAACTATATAGAATGTTAGTAAACAAACATCAAATGCTACTAAAATGGAAGAACAACATGCAAACTAATCAAGGAAGTCATATTTAAAGTGTGGAAAGACATAATTACATCATAATTTAAAAATAAGGGTGCTGGTTCATACGGCTATCTTTATAGTAGTTTATTTGTTTAGGCTGGGGTTCATTCTCTCGATCATTCACGCAACCCCGTATCGAATCCTCCGAGGTCCAATCTTGGCTCGGGTTTTTCATTTTTGTACTTTCTTTTACTTTTTAAATTACCTTCAAATAACCTTAAAAGGGTAATCTTGTGGGAAATTTGGCTCGTCTTTATGAAAAACATACTTTCTTCCCAGTTGTCAAATCAAAGCTTGGTATTTGTTACTGAGAGCGATGCACCCTCTCAGAGACTGTTGAAAAAAATTTAACGTTTTTCTGCAAGAAATACGATGATTTCATCAATTCTCAGCTTTTTCTTCTACAAATGAATTACTCAGGAGATCGAGTACCATTTCTCCACTGATGCACCAGAATTTAAAAATTATTTTAAAATATAGCAATTAAAGTTGCCGTGAATAAGTGTGCCCCCCTTCCCCCCATACACACATGGCTCCACCTCTCTAACACCCCCTGGGACACAATCTCTTCACCTTGGCATTTACGGCAAGATAGAGCTGCATTCACACTGTAAAATCATAAAACAAATACCTTTATATCTGGAACCTTATCTACATTTGCGCGGATGGATGATGAAACAAGTGCACGGAAAGGTCAAAGGAATTGTGAAGATGATTCAAAAAAGAACTAAGTGTGCATGGAAAATAACCCGAGAACTACATTTGTGCGGACTGAATTTTGCCAAATAATACAGTCTGACCAAACTCTACAGTCTGGCCCTGATTCCCCATGTGTCCCCAAAAACTGTAGGGAATATGGGGATAAATATAGGAAAAAACGAACATTCCATCTCCTCTAGAATTACCAAAATCTTTATAACCATATTCATTCTGCATAACATCTAGTTTTTCTTGCTGCAAAACCCTGTATCATAACAAATATAGTTTATGAACTTAAATTACTATACAAATACACTAAGCACCAACAGGAATCTACTAATACTACCAAAACTATTTGCATTAGTGACACGGTACTTTTGTAAATATATACTCAGACAGTTATATTCGTGTCTTTGCTAGCACATTAAGCACATGAAATAAGGCATTTAAAGTTTCCCTCTCCAATTCCAATGACAAACCATTGTTTTAAACCCGGGACAGGAACTTCCCAAAATTTCTACACTCATGCCGAAAGTACTTAAAAATCACGATTTCAACATCCTTTAATAGAATCTCCCATGGTTTACAAAGTGACGAAACCAACTCACCTCCACCGTAGACGCCGCCACTCATGATAAACAAGGGAAATTCTCGTTGTCTGTCAGTGGTTTGGGTTTAGCGTGAAGCGTCGGTTTGTTTGGGGTTTGCGACCGCCAGGGGTTGCATCTTTCAAGTGGCATATTTTCGATTTTTAACATTCTCGTGACGTTATCCTGTTGGTGATAAATCTACAAGGTTTTTAACCAATGTTTACGTTACAGATAAAATTATATGATGGTGTATTAGGATAGTCCATTGACGGGTATCGATTTTCACATGCTTGGAATGTCAGATAAACAGATGATATACCCATATTACAAGAATAAATTTAATTCCAAATCATTCAAAATGCCGAACTGTCAGGATGATTCTTAAAGTCTAAAATAAATCTCCGCTTCCAGGAATCCAAAAGCTGTATACCCACCCTCCTCTTTCGTAAACAAAAGTAAGGAAAGAAAGAGGAGACGGCCTCCGAGTTTCTTCGTTAATGGGGATTTTACGCCGTTTTATCAAATAAGTGAGTAATTTCCAACCCTTTTTTGTATGTTTAAGAGGTAAGGGAAGTGTTTCTTAGTGAAAATTAGGGAGGATTAGCTGTAAGTCATTCAAAGTTGATTTGGGAGGACTGACAGACTTGTTTTCAGATTTCTACGGAAGTGATAACATTTCTCTTTACTCATGATTGTCCTTAGTGTATCCTGGAAATGTTATTGTCAATAGTGAGAAGTTAAGATAATATGAAATTATAGCAGATAATCCTAAAACGAGTGAAAGAACAAATGGTTTGTTGTATGCCAATGCTCAGGTTAACCGTTAATTACATCATAGTTATAACTAGCATCTCACAAGTAAGTGGCTGATTCAACTTATGGTATACTTTCAGTTTCCCACAGCCATGTAGTATGAGGTAAAAATTTGCCTATAATGGATGGAATTCCAAAAAATAAGACCATTTCATATATGGCATTACCTTCGCAAGTTGATGATAAAGTTGTGCAGCACATAATGCTTTGGCGTACATTTATAGGAAAATGTAATATAATAATGATTAAAGGTAAAAATTACACTCACTAACGCTTGAAATAATCTTTTTAGGTTAAAAATAGTCAAAAATGAAAATTGGTTGTAACCAAGTGTGAAAGTAAATCTACGGCGATTGGGTGGGAGTCTGGGAGAGGAGCCCCCAGTAGGGATGTACCATGATTGGATGAGTGTCTGGATATCCAAGGAATGACCAGAGTAATAGTGACATTTACAGAGGGGTGTGGTCACTTCATAAACATTACCAATATTTTCATTTGAATAATTTGCATTGGAAAATAACTTGAGAATTACGTATCTTACAGTGTGGATAATTGAATAAAGGAATGATAATTGCAAGATTGGATGGATGTGGGAAATTGAAAAATTACCATTTTTATTTTGAATGTTATCAGATGTTTCACCTCAAATGTGTCAAACAGTAATTTGGCCATAATTTGTGAAGTAACTGGGGTAAAGGTTACTTATAGGGACTTGCAGATATAGAGGGAGATGGATACAGCCATCTTATAGAGCATAAGAAATAAAGTCAGAAAAAACATAATTAAGCATAATGTATACACAAATACTCTTTACCACCAAACCCCATCCTCTCCTTTGCCATGTATACCAATCCCTTTTCATTCTCCATTATCCTTACTTCTCCTACCTGGATATTCACCTGAATCCCTTCTGTCGCAACAGTGTCCTCCTCTAGATTCCTCCCCTCCTGACGTTCTTCCTGATACTTCACCTCCTTCCCCAGTCCCCTTATCTCATCCCCTAGACTCTTCTCCTGCTACTTCTCCAACAGCTATCTCTACCTGTATTACTCATTTATTATTTCATAACAGCTCTTTTTCCAGTTTTCCTTAACCCACCCGCGCCGGGTACATTTTTGTAGCCAAAATTTAAAAAATCCGGGCAGCTACAAAATCGACGGCGGAGCTTCCCCGGAGTCTGTCCGCCCGCCCGGCTGCGCGCCGCTTTGCCGCGGAGCATCCGAGACAGCATCGCACTGGCGGGCAGCCCGACACTGTTTATTTTTTCCCTGTGTCTCATATATGTGACACCCGGAACGAATGGGTTAATGTTACTATACCTTCCCAACAACAGATACACCCCATTCCATCTAGTCACCCAATACCCTTAACCCTTTCCTATATGAATGTCCGATTTACATCATTTGCACCCCATTTGCACCCCCCTCTTTACCCTTTTCCCTATCATACTATCCTATAACACTATGATCTTTGATATTTAACACTCATTATATAATTGTTAACTCATTTACTTTTTCACCACAATATTTTAGCATAGTACTATATGACCTTAGGTGTCTAGCACATTTAATTGTTTCAACCATTAAGAGAGCCGACACGCTGAGTTTTTGACAAAAAAAGAAATAAAAAAAATAAAAAAAAAAAAATCAAACATTTGAAAAAAAAAAAATCTGTAATCTAGTAGGCTTTGTCAATTCCGTGACATTGTATTTCTGCTAAATACGTAAAAATAAAAAGAGTTATGACAAAATCTCCGATGTTTACTGTGTCGCTTCCATGCAGATATACTTGACAATTTTTTATATATATATATATTTTCTTTTTCGATTTATTTTTGGTATTCTCTGGTTGCTAGCTGGCAATTCTGCTTATGGCACAGCTGACAGCCATGACTAAGAGACAAGGCGGGCAGTCACGATGAGAGAGCCAGAGCGGGAGGTTGCACATCCGATGCCTCAGTGCAACACCATCCCTGATGCCCCCTCATTACACACTAATAGGACACTACTAATGATAAGTGTTATTCCTGTAACTGATAAACATAATGTAATGAGAAATACATTTCAATCACAGCAGCAGCATTTTTTTATTCGTATGAAATGCCTCATGAGGCACTGCGAAGTTTGTGGTGACATGTGGTACTTCTACAATCTTGTGAATTCATTGCCAGTAGTACTTTGCAAAAGGGGAGACCAGGTACCAGCAGCACTTCACAATACCATGTGAAAGCCATAGAAGGCATCAAGATTGATGCTGAGGTCAGAATTCTAAAAAGGAAAAAAAAAAAAAAAAATAAATAAAAAATAAAATAAAAAAATAAAAAAATAGATATATATGACACAATAACATATTTCATATATTATATATATATAATATATATAACAGAGATAATATTATACACTATATATTTTATTTATTTATTTTATTTTTTTCTTTGCACTGAAGCTAATATTCACCAATACCAACCTAGAACACAATTATTATATGTCCTGTCTTCACCTATTTAAACTACTAACCTTACCTTATCTGTAAAAAATCAAATCAACACACTATTAATATGGACAAACATTTACAGAAAAATATCAGTAAATTATAAAAATTAACTTCAATCACTTGCATAAAGGGAGGCACAGGGCTTGTCACCACTCTCCATGGGTTTCGTGTGCCCCCCCTAATATGCTCTTCATGCCCGGGATGCTGGCCACTTACGTAACCATTGCAAACCGATCCAGTGGTTAAGCTGCAGCTGCCTAAATATCATGCTAAATGACGAAATATCCCATGCATATCACCGCTTAGAGCTGAATATCTTGTTTACCTTGCCAGAAAAAATAAAATACTGACGCAAACTCATTACTCGATATCCCCAGTAGTCCGTGATACTGCCACCTGTAAACATTTTTCTAATTATCAGTCGTTGTACAATATCCTATAAATCTATTAATGTATTATATTCATTTACATGTTTTAAACATATCTACACAATTCTTAAATAATCTGTCATCGGCTTTACAAGTCTTTCACATTCCACCTGCAGGTTTGACAGGATCTGGTATTCTAAGACTTAAATCCATTAAGAAGAAATAACAGAACCATCCCAGTTATTACCCATTCAAAGCACAAATCCATAAAAGTGATAAAAACAAAGCATCCAGACTAGACAAAAGAACGAAAGGGTTGACATTTCTAATATAAATGAATTTGTTATATTACCTAATGCCTCATCTTCCCATACATATTAGTAAGATATCTATTCTCATTCTCCCGACAAAACTCTATGACTACTGTGTGACAGGATCACTGTATACGATACGCGACGCGACTTCTCTACTATCCTAGTAATGCTAAACTTAATTGTTAGAATAGTGTGTATTGTCAAATTTTAAGGGTTTGGAAATGGATTC